AACTAAGTACAGTTATTACAACTTACCACGATAGGGTATATTGTTAACAGGGTTTTGACTTATTTAGGATTTGTGATCCCACAGTTTTAAGGCAGAACATGTGATGTGATGGTCCCCACAGTAAAGCAGAATTCCTTGTAATTATTTTAGTTGGAGGGTTCGAAAATTGTGTTAAGAAAATACTGGACCTGAAACTAATAATTATTTCATACTATTAGTAAAACAGTTATTCCTGTTAATAATATTTGTGCTAATAATAAAATAAAGCAATGCAATAAAAAATGAGTATGTACAGCCATCGATGTGTGATTGTGCCAATATCTGTTGCTTGTATTTCCTGCAGGTTTTATGCAGGACTACCTTAGGGGCACCAACCTACTTCCAATCCCAAATCTGTCAAGATCTATCCTATTTTTATTGAGTGGCTGTTTTTGAATGGAACTGTGCACCACAGATTCCCACGATTTTTACATTGCTTTATTTAGAGGCTCAAACATCTGAAAGGCAGTCCTATTCTTATTGACAAAATCTAAAATTAGCATTCCTGAATGAACTACCTTCATTTTCTAACTTTAACTCCAATTAAATGTTAGTCAAACCAAAGGCTGCCACATTCTCTAAATTATATACAGCACTCCTTGTATTTGATATAGAGCCTTTCGTTTTAGGAAGGTGTCTCAAAGCACGTCATAGGATTTACTGTGAAGTGTAGTTAATGTGTATTTTTTGGTGAACGCGACAGCCAATTTGCACACAGCAATGTCCCACAAACAGCCATGAAGTATTCCTAGACCCTACCCAGATGAAGGTGTTATACAAATGCAAGTTGTTGTTATTGAAGTGAATGACTAATTTTATCTGGCAGATTGTTGACTAGGATATTGATTTAATGTCTCATCCAAAGGATGGTGCCCCAGGGCTGCATTGGAGCACCAGCCTTGACTATGTTAATTCAAAGTTCTGATGTGGGGTTTGAGCTTTGTTTTATTTATATATATATATATGTATAATATATGAGATTATTTTGGGGAAGGAACAGTGTTTATCTGTGGTTGCAAGTTTTGAAATTGAAGTTAGTGATTCAATACTCCCTTTCACACTAGGATTTACATGCATATATAATCCATTTAAGAGGAAGCAAGGTATATATGAGGGAGAAAGGGACTAGAAGGGGATGGGAGGGAGTAAAGAGCAGTGGAGATTCATGTGGAATATGAACAACAACACGGACTGGTTACATAAGAACATAAGAAATAGGAGCAGGAGTAGGCCATCCAAATGGACTGTTTATTTGCTGTGGAGTCTATGCCGATGTAAATATATTGAAGAATCCATTTTTAAAAATAACTTTTCATCCTCCTGATTGGAAAGTAGACCATATCACTATTCATAAGTAACTCCAGTATCCACGTCCTCTTTTAAAATGTACACCTGGTATCTGCTGGGTTCGAGGATTGTGCAGAGGTGGCACAGGTTATAACAACAACAACAAATTCCATTTGAATAGCGCTCTTCACATCGGGAGGACGTCCAAGGCAATGGACAGTCAAGGATTTGGATCTGAGCTGGGGTTGGATCAGGAGGGATGGAGGGCAGGATGGGTAACGGTAGGAGGGGAGGGTGACCAGAGACACGGTCGATGAAGAGGATTTTGAGACAGGTCTTGAAGGAGGCAAGGGATGGGGCAGGCGAATGGACTGTGGGATGGAGTTTCAGAGGGTGGGAGCAGAAAGAGTGAAAGTCTGACCGATGGTGGGCTGAGCCGGGCGAGGGACATGGAGCAGGTTATGCTGCAACACCCTTATAATTCAGATGTGTGTTACCGGCAAATGGTGATATGATTTTGAAACAACAGTGCTACAATGGTGTCAGCTGGAAATTCAAACTCTTTTCACTTCCACTTCTCTCTTTCTCTCTCTCAAACACTCGAGAGATCAGGGGATTTATTTTTCCATTACTAAGTGAGAGCCCGTCAAAATTCCATGACACTTGGCAAGCCTGGACTGTCTTGAACCGCTGTGGAATAAATATTTACTTCTGCTGCTTCAGAATGGCTGCATTGGCTATCATATGCCATGTGGGGACTTACTGCCCCGATAGACCCTGTCTGCAATAATCTTCAACAACTGCATCTGACTCACAGACTCCAGACTGAATTTAAAATCGTTTCTCCAGAGGTGAAATGTACGCTATATTTCCTGCCTCCATCACCACTACTCCACCGTCACACACCCTCCCCTCCCCTCCCTCTCCTCCCAGCCCAAACCATCAACCCCTGGTTTGAAATGTTAAATATAACATAACAATCAAGATCTATCAAAATAAACCATTTTCCATTCCTGGTCATGCAGGAGTGTTTACTTTAATGTAGACAGGTCTAGCAGTGCCATGCTGTATCAACAGATAGAGGGTATACTGAGGTATATATTTTCAGAGAGTAAATATTTTGAACCCCTTTCAGCACCAACAGGGAACCTGGCCTCAGCCTTTGGCAAAACTAGTTCAAGTTCGCGAGGTTAAAGGTCACCATGTTGAACTGCTAAGTCGATGGGACCGTTTCTTCTTATTTGTTATGGTTTTGACGGGTGTACCTTCTAACACATCTAATTCTGCTCTTAGTTGACTCAGTTAATTATAGAGTGAGTTTTGAGTACAAATATCTGGTACTATGGCCTTTGCTCAGGAATGTTTTCTTGACAGTCAAGAAAGATCATAGTTTAACCTAAAAGAAACACTCTGTGCAGTGTTTAAATAATATGATCGGTGCTAATAGATTCTGATGCCTTCTTTCACACCAGCAGTCTGGCTGTCTGAAAGCTCTAATCCTCTGTGCACAGCTGACTCTTAAGCACCTGGGTTTGTGCCAGAGACCTTGAATTGAAAGGACTATTTTGGGGGTCTACAAAAGACAAGTTATAAAGGGATTCAAATATATGCCTCAGAGCTGTTCTGCCCATGGATCACAATATGGTTCAGAAGTGTAGTCCCATCTGCAGTTGAAAACGAAGACTGAGTCCAGGAATGCACAAATTCAAATATTGGAAAAGTCTAAATTTTGGAACCATTTGCTGTTATCATTAACTGTTCATATTAAAATATGCTGTCTGTGCACAGAAAGGATTCTTTGACATTTTTGGCATTGTGCTTTTTTAAGATTAGAATGCCTTATGGTTATAGGTGATATCAAATAAGGAACTGACGTATGAATGAACTGACATATAACATATATGGAATATATGGTGGCACAGTGAGCCAGAATGTTTATTTTTCAGTAAAATGCTCTTTTCCCATTACATAATGAGAAGGCAACATACATTATGTTCCAGTAAATACTCATTCCATATTTGTTGACTTGGACTCTCCTCTAACAATAATGAAAACATTCCTGCTTTTATGTGAATGGTGTGTGTTGTATCTAATTGTATTTGTAGCACTGAGTTACATTCCCCTCCAGCTGTTTGCAGTCTCCTGTTTGAATGTGACTTTTGTTCTTACAGTATTTGATTGCAGTTATTTTAAAGCCTTGATCTGCATCAGACCACACTTAATTTGAAGTCTGCGCCAACAATATCTAACAGGCGAGAGGAAATGCTGCCATTGCCTCTGGCCATTTAGAGTTGAACTCGGAAAAATAATTCATTATCGGTCAAGTAACAACCTGCCATATTGCTGATATAGGTTTCAACTAGAGACTTGTTGAGTTTTATCATCCAGCAGTTTGTAGTCTGAGCTTTTGTTTCTTATAATGCTACACCGGTGTAAACGTTATTTTGATACTTAAAAATTTGGTTTCATTTAATTCAGACTCAATGACACAGCTTCCTTCAACTTTGCTTATTTAGGTTTTTAAGTCTGTTTTTAAATCGATCCTTCTATCACCTTCTTCCTCCTGTATCCATTATTTTCTCTTAAATACATCAATGCTATTTGCTTCACCACAGTTTAGTGCAGTGAGTTCCACATTCTCACCACCTCCTGCATGAAGACATTCCTCCTAAACTCACTGTTAGATCTGTTTCCGGCTATCTCATATTTACACTTTCTTGTTTCGGACTCCTCAACAGTTGGAATCAGCCTATCAACGCACATCTTATTGAATCATTTCATGACCTTGAATACCTCTATCAGGTCCACTCTAGAGAGAAAACTCCAACCTGACTAATCTTTCTTCATAGCTTGAAAGCATCATTTGGCCTAACTCAATCTTAGATTGATTACTGCTCCATTAGAAATGTCAATTCTAAGCACATGCCAGGAAAGGTACCTTTCCTGAAAAATGTCTGTAATATACACATGCAATTGGGAGATAGTATGAAAAAGCCTGGGAGAGAGGGGCAGGGGAAATTCTCAACTTCTCAGTAAATATATCAACAGTGGTTTAAAAACAACATTGAAAACACATAAGAATAAAGTTTCCAACGTGTGGAATTTAACTTAAATCACCTCTACTGCTCCTCTTTGTCCTTTTCCTGTGGCTCACAGAGAAAGTGTTAGAAATTTCAGACCTTATAAAATTGTACCGTTGTCAAGCCTTTGTTACAGGAATTTATGGTACTGTATGTTGGTGCTGTAATACCTATGAAATGAAATGGATTTAAAAAATGTCTTATATGTCTGACATTTATATAACAAATGACTGCTGACAGCTACCAGAGATAAGGGATATTAGCTTTCAGCTAATATGGGACCATCGAGTCAGCCACAGACTTAAGACAAATATTTTTACGTGGAGACGACAGCAGCTCTTTGAGCCAAGTTTTGTTTGGTGCCACAATTAGGAATGTGCTCTTCATGGATTTTGGTGGTGGTTGGGGGGGTGGAGTGAGCAGCAAAGGGAAAATGACTGTCAATCAAACAAAATGGTCCTGACCTTTCGACTTGCTTCCACGCTCACCTTCTCAAAGTTTGTCACTGATGAACCATTGACCTTTTGATTAACATTTAACATGTGACCTATCATGAAAAGTTAGTTCTAATTTCCTTCTCTCTCTCTCTTGCAGAAAAACTCTACAATTCTAATGGACGGGAGCTGAGAAGAGCCCTCTTTTCCCTCAAGCAGATTTTTCAGGTGAGTGGCAAACTACCTGAAAGTGGGTAAGCGATTAAACCAATTGACTCGTGATTAATCCCAGAAAGATGTGAAGAGAGCAATAACGGGGCAAGATGACTGGCATCCAGCACCTTGGGACGTCTTTCCAAAGTGAAAGGTGCTATATAAATGAAATTTGTCATTTGTGTAGCTGTAAAGTATACGACTTCAGTTCAGTTTAATGAATCTTTTCGAATCTTTCATGACTTTTCATCTACAGATATTCAAATGTCAATGCCAGGTAATAAAAAAGATTTATCACAACCAAAACTTCCTGACAGTATTATAATGCAATATTATATCTCAGTGTCCAAATGTGTACTGAGCTTTCCAACATTACAAAACCCTTTTTGACAAAGCTTTTGTGTTAAGGGGACAATTGTGGCATCAATGAAGAAATGGGATAGGTGTAGTTGAAAATCATGAGGAGTGACTCTGAAACTGACTTTAAAAGAAAGAGCAACATGAAAACAGTTGTAACATTCAAAGTATATCTGAGGGAAGGCTAATATAGACTCTTGGCGTATTCCATTAAAACATTCTCTAATGGTGGATGAATTAATGGACAATCCTGAAAAGCTACTTCTGACTCATTCAGATATTGTCCATGTTACATTACAATACAATTGTACAATTATATAGGGCCTTTCACATCAGGACAGTGTTCATTGTTACAGTGAGTACTGTAAATCGCATGTATTGTATAATTCTCGACTGAATATTTGCATCAGACGCACAGGAAGATTTTCACTCCTTGCATCCCTTAAATGACAATTAGTTGATTTATCTTGAGTCTGTGTGTCCTTTAGATGTCAGATAATAAATACTTTCATCAGTGAATGATCTGTGTAATATTTACCACTGAGATTCCTATTGTTTAGACATAGGTGTGAGATCTTTGCTCTTCTTACATAATTTTACATATTTATTTAATGTTAGTCATTGAGCTCGACATTCAGTCCGTTATGTCCCTGGGTTTAATACTTAAGTAGATGCTGTGGATCAGTGATCTAGGATGTTGTTCAAAAAAAATCCAATATTCCTTTGCTGATAAAGTCAGAATATTTGTCAGTTTCTCAAGAGTCTCACGAGCCCAGAATAGAATTGATCATGTTATGTTCAGAATAGTTTGGAATTAAGGAGATCACCATGTCTGTAAATCAATTATGTTCAAATATATTTGTTCAATGAACAGGACTGTTGTTACATAGAATAAAATATAGGGAGTGAAAATTGGGATGTGTGATGTGTTAAGCAACATCAGCGATGATTGGCACATCATGTGTTGCAGACTTTACCCCAGTAACCTCATGGGGAAATCACACTCCTAAAGGAACAGTAAATATCACCCAGCTTTTCAGAACAGTTCTCAGTGTTGGCGTTAGGAGAGAACTGCTGAAGTATTTACTTGAAAAGTTGACTCAGTGAAGTCAAGCCAATCGTACCACCTAATCCTCTCTCAAATCTAGGACTCAAACCTCTCTTTCTCTCAGTTACGACCTTTCTTGTGTTTCACTATTTTTTGTTATTTTTTGCTTCTAGGGCCTAAATTGTGAATATTTAAAATAGTTAGTAAATTAGTAAATTCAGATTTACAGGTGTTCAACAACATGAACAACAACAACTTACACTTCTATAGTACCCTTCACATGGGCTAGTGTCATAGAGTGCTTCACAATGGCACAGTTTGACACTGAGCCAGGGAGAAGGGGGTGACCGTAGGCACAGTCAAAGAGAAAAGTTTTCAGATGTGACCTGAAGGTGCCAAGAGGGGGCAAGGCGAAGGGATTGAGGCAGAGAATTCCAGTGGTTCAGGGCATATTGGTTGAAACACGGCTGACAAAAGAGGAGCGAAGATCCAGTGAGTAACCCAAAACTCGTTAATTTTTTTCTTCTTCTGCGAATCTTACGCATTCCTCCAAACATTATTCTCCTAATGTTTCTCCTAAGCTTCCAAATACAGCAATTCTCGAAACACTTCCTCCTCCTTGCATCTTTAATCTCACTTATTCTTTCCCAGAACCTCAAAACTGTTTACTCTTTAGTGCTCTCAGTTTTCCCTTCCTCTTATAATCTGCTTTACAGACATTTAAAATCCAAGTTTGTTGTCATTCAACCAGGACGTTCCAAATTATCTGGAGTGAAGTTCTGTAGCTCAGTGGTGACAGCACTCACCTGTCAAGTGAGATGACCTGAGTTTAGCTGGGTCAAGCATTAAGCAAGTTTCCTTACTCGACATACCTCTGTTTACTAAGCAGTAAGTAGGAACCCGGTTGTTAGACGATTGGTGGATCATTTTTCCAGGGATAATAATCCCTTGAAAAAAATAATAATTTGGTCACTCAATCCACGATTGTTTGTAGGACAGTGTTGTGCGCAATTGGCTGCCCTGTTTCACCCACAAAATATTCAGTGAATTCACTTTACAGTATATTCTGTGAAGCGCTTGAGACGTCTCAAAGACGCAATAAGATGCTATATCTATGCAAGGATTATTATATTATTATTATCTATTTGTTTTTTCTTTTTGCAATCCCGATGTGAAAGGTACTATATCAAATGCAAGGATAATTGTTATTAATCATGGTAGTATTCTTCAATTACTTTTCACCTCTCAATTGAAAAGCATCTTTGTAAAGGTGACGCCTCTTCATCTTTGAGAATATGCCTTAAGATTGACAGTGGCTTGTTTATTTTGCAGCATATGCTTACTTTGAAACCCTGACACGGTCTGCTGAAGAAACCACATTATTTTTTATTTGTATTACTTAGTGGTGGTTCAAACATTCATGGAGAAGAATGGGCTACCGTACTGTAGTGGGATTTCCATGTGTTCTTTGGCGGTGCATTTGTTCAAGTTTGTCCGTAAATCTAATTAAAGAGGAACATAGTTTGTATTGACTCAGATGTTCTGAATGAATTGAAGCAGAATCCTGCATAAGAAATGTTGACTCACAGCTAAGTATAAAGTAAGAGGGCAAGAAGTTAAAGCATTGTAAATTTCAAAGGAATATATCACAGGACGTAAGGCCAGCCACGATGGAGCTGTGAACACAACACCTGATAGCGTTTGTATCCTTTCAACAACGCAAACAGCTTCAAGATGTTTTTCAACTGGTATTTTTTGTGTCGATTTATAAGTTAATTTCCATTTCTCTTCCTTTTTTCTGGAGGACCTTCACCCTTAACGAGAGAACAGTGAGACTGTGCTGTTGGCTTCTGTCAGTGATGCTTGAGAGGCTTAGGTTTATAAATGGGAATAAAAACATTAAAAAAACGTCTGGTTTGCAGGCAGTAATAATAAAACCTTTGAAACAAAATCAAAGGGTCTAGTTGATCCTGAACAATAAAAATAGAGGTCCTTTCCCTGTATCTTTATTACTGGAAATCCTATATTAAGCTACATCAATATTTTCATCAAGATCAATATTTGTAGCGGTTTGCAGCAAACGACTCCAGTGGAACTTTAAATTTGTGCAAATTACTATTACATCATTGACATTCAAAATACTATGAACAAAATGTTTCCTTTGAAATTAGACCTGAAGTTGAGTTGTGATGCTGAGAGGCACTATGGTGTGTTTTTGATCACCATATTGGTCACTGATCCTCTCCAAGTTTTTTTTTCAGCACAATTTTGTTTTTCTAATTCATGTAATTAATAATTTTATGTTCATTCATTGAATTGAAATGCAGGCAAATTAAAGTCCTGTAGTGTTGTGGTTAGAGCACTCGCCTAGCAAGTGAGAGGATCCAGGCTTGATTTCCGGGCAGGGCGAAATCTTAGACAAGTTTCCTTACTCCACATGCCTCTATGTATCTAGCAGTAAGTAGGAACCTGGTTCTTAGTCGATTGGCGAATCACTTCTCTGGGAATAATAATCCCTTAAAAAAAAATTCGGTCACTCAATCTGACTGTTTGTGGGAACACTGCTGTGCCTAATCGGCTGCCGTGTTTCACCGACAAAATATGCAGTTACTACACTTTACAGTATATTTTGTGAAGCGCTTTGAGATGTCACAAAGACATGATCAAGATCTACATCAAATGCAAGAATTATTATTATTATTAATTGTGTGCAGGTGTTCCTATGCTCTGCAGCTTTCCAATCAAAGAAGCACCCTGCTCTTTCCAAACACTAGTTGAATAATAATAATAATTATCCTTGCATCTGATATAGCAATTTTCACATCTTCTAGACATCTTAAAGCATTTCACAGAATATACTGTAAAGTGAATTGACTGTATATTTTGTGGGCGAAATGCGACAGACAATTGCGCACAAACAGTCGTGGATTGGGTAACCAAATTATTATTGTTTTTTTTTGAGGGATTACTATCAAGCGTGTTGAGTAAGGAAACTTGCCCAAGTTTTCGCCCTGCCGGGAATCGAACCCGGGTCTCTCGCTTGCAAGGCGAGTGCTCTAACCACTGAGCTACAGGACTCCTGGCAAAACACTTCGATAAAATAGCTAACCTGCTACTAATAACTTCACTTGTGTTGAATAAAAGGAACAGATGTGTTATCTTAATCACAGTGTGGAGCTATCTTTCCTAACGTGCCCAGACTAGGTATATTAATGTACTAGATTGGCACTTCCCATTTCATTTCCACAAAGAATTTGCAAGCAGCAGCATTATCTCGTACTCCAGACTAGGTCTGAAGATACTGTCCACGACTAAGAAGAACAATGTATAATGTAGAAGAGTAACAGTCTCTTCTATTGCAGAAGCATTTGACAGTACAAAAGATTGTGAAAATTGGCATTAGTACATTACTGCATACAAAAGTTTCCAGACAGGGAAAAGCACAGGTCACTTTCTACCAGTGTTCATTTTAACTTTGTAATCATTGCCGATCCTCATTTAATCCAAAAATACTCTGCTCGTTTTCTTTGCTCCTTTAATTGCCTGCCATGGAAAGATTTGGCTTAAATAAATTCCCTCCTGAAGGACAGAACACCTAGTCTGGGCATGTTAGGGAAGATAACCCAAAACTGTTCCTTTTGTTCGACACAAGTGATGTTATTAGTAGAAGATTAACTATTTTATCAAAGTGTTTTGTGTGTCACACAAATGGTTCAATTTTATGAGTTGCTTCTAACCATCCCATAATAGTAATTATTTCAGTGCAGCAGTTTGGGCATGCACAGACTGATGGGAGTAACAGGGCTGTTCTCTGTGACTTTTTCTCTTATACGTCTTGTTAAACTCGTCAGTGTAAAATCATTAGTCACCAGTGTTGGATACCCTTTAAGAAGAAATGACCAATTAACCAGGAACCAATGAAAGGGGTTAAGGAAATATAAAGCAGCAGGATGCAGGTGAACTAACTAAAGGGGTTTTTGGTTATATTGGTATTTTTTTTTGAGAGCTGAGAATAAACTGATGATTTCTACATTTAAGGTTGTGAAAACATAACAACCAGCAAGGTGTTTGACATAAGCCCAGGCTTATTCTACTCTGCTGAACTTCAAGTCAATTCAGCACTGAAATTGCTCACTAGCTTTAGAAATATTTTAGTTCACAAGTTAATACAGCCTAAAATGCAAGAATTTCAAACTGGATTCATTAATTAAGCTCCCAGAGGACAGGAGTCTACAGTACAACATGGAATTTGGCAGTAACTGTTAATGCATTTATATTGCATCTTTCCCTTCTTGAAGTACTTTGCAAGAATGATGGAGATCACCAAAGAGGGAGAAAAGGAGGTGAACTGTGAGTTTATTGTTAGAGATCAGGGCACTGGATTCATTTAAAAAAGTGGTTTGATGTTGTGATGTGGTGGGGGGACAATCAGGTGGATGTTCTTGAATGATAAGATCAGACCAATCTTGTGGTCAAATGCTCAATCATAGATGGTTTTAAGTATGTTTTGAAACCAGGAAGAAAAGCTGCAATGCAAAGGGATATTAGGATCAATTGCAGAGAGCAGGGATATAGTAGCAGGGACATAGTGGCGGAGAGATAGTTGCTAATGTTTCAATCAACAAACGTTAGAAGGAGGTAGTATGGATCAGAGTGTGATCACAGTGGAGCAGAGTGTGAAAAGACACAGGATTGCAATGCACACTGAAAAGAGCACTCAAGTATGGAGAAAGACTTCTTCTGAAAGTCCAATTGAACTGAATTATTGAGAAGAGAGAACATTGATGAGAGTGAGAATGACAGCTCTGAATCCATTTGTCCTAAGTTATTGATCACTAAGTGCATTGAAGTAGAATGATTTATTCTCTGGACTCCCAAGTAGACAGGTTAACAAATTCTGTATGTGTGTCAAATGAGAGTATTTCCAATCACATTAACTCAAAATCACAGTAGCTCACATTAACTCAAATGCTGTTCTTTTATTTCATCAGGATGACAAAGATTTGGTCCATGAGTTTGTCGTTGCTGAGGGTCTAACATGCTTGATAAAAGTAGGAGCAGAGGCAGACCAGAACTACCAGAATTACATCCTGAGAGGTAAGTGATACCAGCCCCTACTGTCTCCCTTTGTTAAAGTAAACATATGGTTTATTTATTTAATTTTACTTACAGCTTGTGCTCGGCCCACTATTTGGTGACTTAAGTTGAAGCAATCAGGTCTAGGTTATGCTGTGAGGCCTGCATGGTTGGACCCAGTGTTCATATAACAGGGCTATTTCCTTAAAATAAACTGCTGGGAAATCCGATCATAAACATACAATGTAGAACATCTTTCCTTTTAGATGTTGGCATGTGCTGGATCTCGATATAGTGGAGGATGCCTAACTGACTCTTGTGGGAATTAAAACAAATACTCTCCAGTAATAAAATAGGCAACACTCCAATTTTATTGTGAGTCATTGAGTCACCATGAGGAATCTTTTCTAGCCTTTGTATCTTGGACCTGTGGATAAGTGTTACACACGATGCTCCCGGCGTACAGGGCAGTCACAAGAATGCTATTCCTGGGCTTTTTTTTCAGCTACCATATTCCCATCAAACACTTTTTCAACCTCATTCTGCTTCCAAAAACAGAACATCAATAGTTGGCCATGTTTCAGGTGGCCTCAGCCCACACCTTGAGTCAAGTAACAAGGTCAAGTATGTACCCGCAGATGAAAACACAAACAGTAACACATGGGAAACTAACGAGTCTTTACAGGTCATATTAGAAATGAGCCATCTGCTTAAAAGTGCTGTCCCTGTATTTGTCTGTGATGGATGCAATACCCCTCATGTTAAAACCATCAAATATAAGGTCTTTGTCATGGGGTTATTCACGTTACTTATCTTTGCTGCCAAATAGTTTTGTTTTTGGGGGCGTAGTTTTCCTACAATCGGAAAAATTTATTAACCTTGGTGAGTGAATCTGTGTTACTTCCACAACTAAACTTGATGGGCTGAACATAGAATGAGGTTTTCCCATTATAAATGTGCCGTCAAGTTTGAGAAAATGTCCTGATCAGCGGACAAGTGCCCTCTGTTTGTAATCAGACTGTAGTATTCCTTGGAAGTAAATCATTGCTGGATAAGTATAGGATTTATCGATTTTTTTTTTGGGGGGGGACTTTGTCTCGAGGTGCTGGAAATCCAAGGTAATAGGCAGCTGGCATTGAGTTATAAGAGAACACTTCAATCAAGCACTTCGAAGGACATGCTAAATCATGAGAGCGAAGCTCCAACAATTTCTGAATATCAGCACAACCGCAAGATTGAATTTACTGTCTTCTGTTCGCTGCCAGGCATTTGTTTTTTTTATATATTATACTGTCTGCAGTTAAATAGAGAGTGTTACTCTAATGGGAAGTCATTTTCAATATACAGTGCTTTTCACCCTCCTCCAGATAGCTTGAGGGAAATAAATTATTGAAGAATTCTGCTGCCTGCATGGAGAAACCTTTATTTTTCTTTGCTTGTTCTTTGCTAGACAACTATCACACCAGACCTCGAAGCCACAACACAGTAAGACCATTCTGTCAAAAAATAACTTCAATTCAAAGCAGCATCTTTTCATTGATCTATATTTGCCCATGGAGCACTTCCCTGTACTTCTCCTCACTTTTTATCCTATATTAATAAGCACTGTTTTTCAGGCTCCCTCCATCAAGCCCTGGAGACATTCACTTGTATGAGCGCTGAGTGCAGTGGATTTGGTTGAGTTATACAAGGCAAAGGAAGTCTGTTTGCATGCTGCATGTCTGTCCCGCAATATTGGAGCCAGTGCCTTTCGTCTGTTTGGAGATTAATTGTGTGATGACTGTTGTGCTTCGTTCCTATCACCACCAAATATCATAAATAAACAATCCCAGTATTTGATATAGTGCCTCTAATATCAGAACTTCATAGGTAGTTGCAGTAAAGTGTAATGACTTTGTACTTGAGGTTAAATGTGGCAGCTAATTTGCTCACAGCAAGATTGCACAGACACCCAATTTATCTGAAGGATTGTTGGCCAGGACACCAGGAGAAACATCCTTCTCTTTTCCAACAATGACATGGGATCTTTAACATTCTCCTGAATTAGAAACGTATGAGAGACTCCTGCATTGTTTGATTTAGTCTGTAACTTTGTTTCCTTCCTGACATCTTCCCCTTCCCTCGGTGACTGGCATGTGTGTGTATAATGTGGTTCTGATTGAGCGAAGCACCAATTGTCACTCCTCAAGGGGAAGGCTTTTAGTCTCTCACTTCCTCCTCAAGACAGGAAGGTTGAAATCAGAAGACTGACCATGTGGTAAACACATACCCATTTACTGCAACTCTGAGGTCCCACATGGCAGATCAAACTATTGATGCGTTTGTCCAGGTGGGGTTACAAAATGAAAACCCCAAAGCTTAAACTTTTCAAAATTAGCATTACGCAGAAGATTGCGAGATTATTGTCTGGTACTAATTTCCTGCCAAATTTACAGCTTATTTGCACCAAGTATTTATAGCTTTATTATATTTGTCTGGCTTCAACTTTAACAAATGTCCTTCGTGGCTTGTTTACTTCAAGGGAGTTACAAATTTCAGCCGTACCCGAGATGTTGTTTCTCAGTCTTATATATAGGTGGTGAACATAATAATCCTTGCATTTAATATCACGCCTTATCAAAGTGCTTCACAAGATATACTGTAAAATGGTTTTGACTGTGTGTTTCATGGGTGAAACACAACAGCCAGTTTGCACACAGCAATGTCCCGCAAACAGTCATGGAGTGAGTGATCAATTTTATTTGGGGGAGTTGTTGGCCAGGACACCGGGAGGAACACCCTTCTCCTTTCGAATAGTACCATGGGATCTTTAATGTCCATCTGAATAGGCAGATGGCACCTTGGTTTAACATCTCATCCCATCTGGAATACTGCGTTCAGTTTTGAGCACCGCACCTCAGGAAAGATAATAGTGCCTCTGGATGGGTTGCAGTGCAGATTAAACAGAATGATATCAAGGCTGAAATTATGAGGACAGTTTGCATTCCCTTGAATTTAGAAGGTTGAGGGGCGATCTAATTGAGGTTTTTAAAATAATAAAGGGATTTGATAGGGTAGAGACAGAGAAATTCTGTATTTCCTCAGGTGGGGGAATCCAGAACAAGAGAACATAATCTTAAAATTAGAGCTAGGCCATTTGGAGTGAAATCAGGAGGCAGTTTTTCACCCAAAAGGTAGTGGAAATCTGGAACTCTCTTCCCCCAAAAGGCTGTGGATGCTGGATCCATTCAAACACTTAAGACTGAGGTGGACAGATATTTGTTAGGTTAGGGTATTAAAGGATATGGGGCAATGGCAGGTAATTGGAGCTGAGGTACAGACTGATCTGAACCTGATCTTATAAAATATAATATAATATAACATAATTATAATATAATTATAAAATGGCAGAACAGGCTCGAGGGGCTGAATGGCCTACTCCTGTTTCTCTGTTTTTAAAGTCCTGTGAATTGCTTCGAGATGTCCTTTTGATGTGAAGGGCACTACATCAATTGAAAGTATTATTATGATATGATGCCCAAAGCCTCCCCTCTGAAGATCTCAATCTACAAGCAGGATCAGCCTGTCTCCAGAAATTTAGCATTCCAATGCAGACTGTTCCAAGCACTATCCGTGTAAAGGGAGTTATATAAATCCAAGGTGGTGGTGTTGATGTATTGTAGATTTCTTTGCTTGCCATGAATCCAAGATGGTAATTATTTTATTTTTTAAAAAACTCTCCCATTTGTCCCAAAGCTATGGGGGTTACTAAGATCTGAAAACAATCGATTATTTATTAACTGAAAGTTTGTCCCTTCATAACAGATTCAATATGATAAAGAAGGAAATTAATTGACTTCAGTTTTCCCCCCACTCCACATCAGCAAGGCTGAGATCAGCAGCATAGAGTAGGTCTCCCTTCCTAAACTAAGCTGCTCAAACACACTTCTTTTAATGCCCTTTCCTTTCTTCACACACTTGTAAATGTTCCCCAGAGCAGCACAATGATAAGTCTTAAGTTATTCCCCTTCCTTTGTCACAAAATATTCTGCTGTTGTGAGCTAATTAAGTTTGGGGTCTAGACCCAACAAAACTCATCCCACCCACACTGACCCACACCTTGGTGAAAAGCAGCTTTGCCATTTAAATCTCCAATTTCCTCCTTGCTCCCCGCTCCCCACCCAGACAGCCTTCTCCTCGTACATAGAAGGGCTTCCACCAGTGATGCGCTGAATTGATTAAATGGACCTGATACTGACAGGTATGTCATAGGGCACACAGCAGCTAAATCTAACCTGGGCTTTCTGCTGCACTGACAGCTGCTTTCAATCGTGATCCCTATAAAAATTCCTGCAGCGATGGTACATAGTAGATAAGCCAGTGATCCATTGCAAGACTTATGAGAAAAACATGCTCTGTCTTGTATTCGGAATCTATAACGCAGCACAAATGTAGCAATATTCAAAAGATTTAAATGCAGAGAAGGACAGAAGTGAAAGGAAAACTGGATAAAGAAGTTATCCCATTCAGTGACAAGTGCTGGCACTTGGATATTAGATCCAGGGTTGGTACTGGCACTGCAGGTCAGACTGGTTTGTTTGTGCCCATGTTATTTTAAAAAAAACAGGAGTTTTTAGTTTCAACATTGCAATTTGTGAAATAAACTGGGTGTTCATGACCCTTCTATCCCATGTATCAGGCCACATCCAGAATAATGAAACTCTGTAGTCAGCATGCCCTTTGATATAATTCAGAATCATAAATACCTGGTACGCAGAGGAGTTTAAAATGATTCATACTTTAGAGTGCCTCATGGCCCCTGCCCTATCTATCCCACATTTGGCATATGGGCTTTCAGCATTCTGCCTCTGCTCTCTGCAACTCTATCCCTGACCCTTCCGTCTTGTTACCTCCCTCCCATCATTCAAAGCATGACTCGAAACGTACCTCTTTGTCCCCGCTTTCAGTCATCGTTTCCCCCTCGGCTTCCATCCTCGATGATATCAAGATAAATGTTATCGTTTTCAAAGTGTAATTTTGTA